CACCAAGCCCTGTTTACTTACTCCGCCTGACAAAGTCCTTCCTCCTGGATAGCGTTATTCCCCGGATGGGGATGTTTTGCCAGAAGGACAAGGTCAAGAACGTTTGTTCAGTTTAATTAAAGATGAAGTGGATCACTCGGAACCTTGTCGTTGTCATGAATCTTTCACCCAAGAAGCATAAAATGCCTCAAAGTGAAGGGAGGATGAAATAAATGGATCTCCTGGGAAATTTGGCGTCCCCGTGGACTTCTCGAAGGTCGAGTGAAGTATTTGTTCGTCTCTCCCAAGCCCCCATTTCCCGCATGCTTCTTCGTTCCCCGTACTCATCTATAGCTTCCAGAATCGTCACTTAAAGTCAGCTGTATCTGTACCGTTTTGGAGTTTCCCGGAGCATTGCAATCACGACTAATCGTTTGGTGTCTCCAGAGCACACGGTAAGCTCCCACCCCCAGCGGTTGCGTTCAAAATGTGTATTTTCTCATCTCCTTTCGCTTCGTTTGAACTGTTTACACCAACCGCATAGTGCAGCGTATGGGCGTCTCTGCGAAGAGTTGACAGCTGAATAAGAATGAGAAATGTACTGTATGTGAGGATATGGTCTGAGAATGAAAATTGCATCAGAAACAAGTTTTGCTACAGGTGTATGGAAAAAAAGCATCTGTGGCTTCCCCCTCCACCCATGGCTTGAATGGGTAGAAATTCCGTGCACCAAGTTAATACCGAGGCAAGCGTGCTTGTGAATATCATGGGATGCACAACAGTCATGCCATCACGTTGAGGCATACCAGAGGCCTGTACCAGCGTGATTCGCCAATTTCAGGATTTGTAGCTAAGCCTAGGCAAATTTGGGACCACCTTCTATAACACCAGTCTGGAAGGACGGATTTGAAAGAAAAAGTGTAACAAGAGCTCTCTGATTTTTGTTTAGGAGGAGACGTGGAGGAAAAGAAAGTGGAAGAGAAGGAGAAGGACGACGAGAAGACGAATAATGAACGATGTGGGAGTGTTCGACTGCGCGTAGCACTGGGAGAGGAGACGAGTAGCTTCGAGTCCAGCGACGCGACGGAAGAGCGTCAGTTAGAGCATATTCGACTCGGTGTCATCCGCGGTCAGGAAACGAGCAGTTTCGAATCGGAAGACTCCTCGTGGACGGAGGAGGCGGAGCCCCGTAAGAAACTGACTCAAATGAAGTCGGACAGTGGGTATAAGAGCATGGAGGGAGGGACTGGGACGACTGCGACGACCACCACCACCTCCAGCTCGCGGTCCCATCCCTATCGACGACGGCGGCGGGAATTCAGTCGGGAGCGGCAGCATGCCTTCAGCTACGACTACGAGGGGAACTGTCCCGTGTTCCTGGCACGGATCTTGGCTTCGGCCGAGACCCGTCAAACGGGAATCCTTCAGCGAGACTTCAGCATCGATCGAAAATCCGACATCCTCTTCCGGGAATTCAGTCGTCGCGATCCCCTCTTGGACAGAGAAAAGGAAGCCGATTCCCCGGGTGGATCCAGGTCGAAGCTAGTGTCAAAAGACAGCATCGAGGAGGAGGATCCTCCTAGTGATCTCCCCCTCTCCATTCCCAGCACTTGATACAGTGAGCCGCTTCTCATTTCGACTGTTCTTTCGTTATTTCCCTTTTTAAAATTTCCCACTTTCTTGTCTTTCTTGTCTTCGATCATCCAGGATGCTTTCACGATGCTCACTTGAAGGTAGTCGCCTTCTCGAAGGGATTCTGTCAGCGCGAAGAAATAAAGCTCTATTTTATTCCTCTTATCCGCTTTCGCCGCCGAGCGAACTCCAATTCTATTCTTCTTATTTACAGTGTTGAATCGAGTCATGGAGGACTTCAAGAAAGCGTGGAGGCCTTGGCATTTTATTATTATCGTCCATTCTTTCACTTTTAGGAGTTTCATGACTTCATCTGCTCCTTTACGTCATCGTCCTTACAGTAAGAATCACGGTTCGGAATGACCGTTTCCGATACGAATTCCCCTCTCCTGACTCACGCTCGTGCATGAACACCCAGATCGGTATACTCGCTCCTTTTGCGAAAATTCCGTAGCCCACGGTTCAAGTACGGACTCCAAAAGGCATTTCTGCTCACATAGACACCCCCTGTCGAGGTCGAGCACGACCTTTTATTCATTAGATTTCGCGAAAGCTTTCGATACCGTTCCTCACAAGAGGTTGCGGATTAAACTGGAGGCGCACGGGATNTTCCCTACTGCCTCGAACAAGTCGATTGGCACTGTGTGAACTCCACGTTCCCATGCTTGGCTGTCTTCATTTTCCTGCAACTTGCTGTAAATAGGCGCTTCTCATGTGCACTCAAAACCTTATCTTTTCTGCGCATAATGGTAGAGAGAGTAGAGGGAGGAATCCCGAAATTCCCTGTGATGCCTTTCTTCTTCAGATGGCCTTCTTCGCCAGTCCGAATAAAGTGTACATTCTCTTCGAGCGTCAGATTTCCTCTCGAGTGAGCTCACTCCACACAAATGGCGTAAAGGAAGTAGAATATGACTAGAATGGCTCGGAGTGAGAGCGATAGATAGACAGAGAGAATTTTTGAGGCTGCCTTTTTAAAGCCGAAGCTTCTCGGTTTTAATCCTCACCACAGGCGTCTGTGTGGGAGGAGGGAGAAGAAGAAAAAAAAAACAAAAGAACATCCTCCCGAACGTGTTTCTTGTCATTCCTCCTATTCAAAAGAATTTTTAAAAAAAGTCCCAAGAGAGAAAATTTTCCCCCCTTCTCACCCTGAATTCGAGTTAACCGTGAGAAATTCGTTATCGGGAGTGAAAATTTCATTCGAGATATCCGGAAATTCGAGATAAGCGAACTCGAGTTAAACGGAGCATTTAACATGGTGTCCTACGGGGTTCCGCCGGGACCAAGCTTTGAACTTCGAGATAAGCGGAATTTCGACTTATCAGGATTCGAGTTAACGAGTTTTCACTGTATTATACATGGCTTTGATGACAGCGTATTCGTTCCAAAAAACAGGTTTTCGTGGAAGCGTTTCACGTATTGGGGGGGATCGATTTTAAGGAACTACTCGTATTATGGTAGCAGAATTCATGATGCCATGCTCCCTGCGATAGGAAGTTCTTTCATTTTGCCCCTCTTCCACTTGACATTGAGGTCAGTTGGGACAAGGTCCCTTGAATGCCATAAAACAAAATATTGCACATTTGTTTCCTACCAACAGAATCTTCACAGAATTATCGTCTCCTTATAAAAAAAAAGTTCATTTTGCTGAAGGATTCATAATATCCTGTGCTGGCTGGCTGGTACAATCCTCTTCTTTCCCTCGACGCATGAACGCGGCAGACTGTGTACATTTCTCCAAGTTTTCCCTACCTATACATTATGCAATAGGCCCGTGTCCTCATGGGTTGAAGAGCTATTGTTTGCTTCGTTTTGTTTGCATTTACGACTGTTTGCTTCAAGCAAGACCCAGTTAAAAATACGAGGAGCAATTTCCGTTTGTCGGATTTATTTTGGATGAAGGTCACCATGAGAAAATAAAGCAAATATCGTAAAGAGAAATCCCTCCCTTGCATTCCATTATGCCTTCATGTCCACAGAGAGCACTCAAGAAACGCCATTGGCTTAGCCTGCCTAAATAGAATGAAATAACCGAGAACAAATCATATCCTTCTTTTGAATAAGGGGAATAGAGCTTTAGGTTAGGCGTATATTGCAATACGATGATGTGGTTATAAACTTCGTGTCATGTGTCTCGTGGCAGGTAACGATCGGCTGATATCTACAATCACTTTTGCGCAGTACATATCGTCCATAATCCAGGCTACAGTACAGTATTGAGGTTGCAATCTTCAATACGTTAGAACTGCATTCTGGATCCTAAAAGCCAAGAAAGCTAAAGCGAAAATACTGGCCCCTATCTTTACAAATAAGTCTCACAAGGCAAAGAGAATTCTCAACGAGTGTCAATGATGATCCTGACCATGACTGTCTTCTTGGACTGGAACGGGAGGTTGTTGAATAGGTGAATGTGATTCCTTCCTCCCCTCCTCCTCCAGGTCACGGTCACGGTCACGGTCATCGTCATCGTCATCGTCATCATCGCCGTCTGCTTCTGCTTCCGCTTCCTCTTCGTCGTCCTCGAATGTCGCTCGAAGCTCCCATAGCTTTAGGTACTGTCTCTACATGAAGAAATCCAGAAATTTCCCTCGTTCTTTCCATCTTTTCACCCAGTCATGCGATAAGGTGATAAAAGAATCGTAAGTCGGGATATGCGTTTGAAACTATCGCTGATTACATTCAAGGATATTCTTTTTAAAAAAAGTTTCACTTTATAATTATGCTACATGAATGGTAAAGAAATGTTCACAGGGCTAGTTTACATCGAAAATTAAGGGTGGCAGTCAGCTAATTATGAATTGGATTGGGTATCAATGGATGGCAATCGTTTCATAGTTTGAAAATAATTTTGAAATGCTTCTCGCACATACTATCAGTAAAGGGGGCTGGGGTAAGAAAGACGAGAAAATAGTAAAGTATTTTTCTTTCACTGAATGAAAAATAATAATCTGAATTCCATGAAATTTGGCAGAAATATAGTCTAGATATTTCCCTGATTGCTAAACCAAAGTCGCGTATTATTTTGGCCATCAAAATGATAGTCTCCCCGTTTCCCCGGGGAAATACCTCCTATTGCCTCAGTTGGGTAATAAAAGGCATAGGCATGTACCAGAATTTGTAACTTTTAGGGCTAGGTAGAAGCTTCTAATCACCAGGAAATCTTGTCAAAACCCAATGTTCTCGGACAACTTCGACAAGGCACGGTTATTTGAATTTCCAATATCAACTTATTTTAATTTTCAAATATTGGCTTTACAAAATTTATGAAAATATAGGTGGCCTCACTGAAAACGGCTCATAAGCCATCAGTGTGAATCAATGGCAGGAACAAAGGTTTGTACGCTGACTTTACTTCATGAGACCCTGCGTTCATTACTTTGGACATTTCTCGATCAAGTTTCAGAAGAGTTGGGTTGCAGGAGGATAGTAAAAGTTTTATGTTGGTCCTCGTAGATAAAAGCATTGGCAATACCTGCCAGCACATGAAATCATTAAGAACAAAAAAATTCAGAGTAGGCATAACAGTCTCATTTCCCTTCTATTTCTCAGCTTCTCAGAACTCTTCCACTCACTTCCTCGTCTCTAAGAGCAACAAACATTTTTAAATATGCACTTATAAATGAGGCCTACATGTTATACGCTTTTTGTGTTATAAGTTATAATAATATAATTTATTATTTTATAAGCGTTATAAGTATTTTAGCTTAAACGACAGGAACAGGAAAGAAAAATGTTGCGCCATACGCCTAGCCTTAGCCTGTTGACCAGTTGTCAATATACAGCACGTTTCCCATTACCTCAATGTGCCAAAAAAAAATGGGGTAAGAGATTGCGGTCTGTCAGGTTTCTGTCTGATAGTATCGGAACTAAGGATAGCAACGGGCACGAAATAGTAACAATTAGCATCCTTGGGCATGCAAACAATGCGATAGAAATTCTTCATGAAATGTTATGGTTTCTTGAACACGGGTGACCAATATGCTCAAATAATTCATTTTCAAATGTCCCATAACCTTACCGAAAGAGCAAAGATACAAACCATACTTAATGGAAGTGTGAGAGAAATATCGGAGCAAAAGAAATAAATATTACAGTGTCAGGTTAAATTATATTCCTGCGATCGACCATTTCCTCTATTTCCCCAGCTTCCCCTCAATGCTTTCATTATGAGTTGCAGTGCATCCTCCGTTGCTATCCTCTAGCGATGGCTTTTCATGCAGCTGGATTTCTGCCGTTTGTGTCGAATATTTATATTTTAAATTTTACCTTGATGTCAATGTCGCCAGGTCTTCTCTTCTTTTCTTCCATGGTCGTCGACTGACTGCATTCTTCAAATGACAAATCCAGAAGGCTATCGTAATTGACCTGAGAAGAGGCATCAATGCTGGCATTTAATCGACGACTGTTAAGTGAGGGTGTCTGGATGGATGGGTCATAATACACTCACAAAATCTTCAGGGGAACTGCCTGAAAATTCAAGGCTGTTTATGGACAGCTGAAATTTCAGGAAGTATGCCTGAAATCTTCAGGCATATTTCACTAGAAAAAGTCTAGAGAGGAATTACACTATAAACAAAAAAATCGGAAGCAATTTCTGCCGAAAAATATTTCAAGGAGATGGAAGGCCTCAGGCTGTACAGTGATCGCTGGGATTTCTCACATTCTCCTTTATTAAAACTTTCAGATAAGCTTTGTCAGCTACAGTACGTAATAATAAAAAATTCCAGGCCAAATTGCCTAGAACTTCATCACGAGAAGCCTGAAGATTTCAAGAGCGGAAGGAGGTATATCTGTCTCACGTCTTCAAGGCTTCCAATGTCATTGTATCGAACTTTCGAAGGGGGTTCTTCATGGTCACTTTCCATGAGGATCCGGTCTAATTCACGGAAGAGCCTCCGACCGTTCTCTTCCATCCCTTCCTCTAAGTCCCCAGATCCGGAATCCAGGCTTGCACTTCGCTTCTGTAGGCGCGGAGCCTTCCACACGTCCACCTCCACGCACTCCCTGAATGAATTCACAGATAGTCCCTCACGCCAGAGGAAGAGAAGGAAGACGAAGACTTTAGAGACGAAACGAACATGCGAGAGTCTTTCTGTGTCACACTGAATTGACGAATGAAAGGATTTGATCCCGGTCGATGAGGAGGAGAATGGATCACGGCTGATGAGGCATCAAAACCGGAAGGAGATTCCTAAAAAAAATATGAAAGAAGAATATTTCTTCAGGTATTCCAGGAGGGAGAAATATAAAATGGCAGAGGAACAGCGTATCGGGTTGCGATAAATATTAAAAGGAACTCTGTTCTAGGAGGAGAAAGAGACCTGGTCGGCATCGATGGCTGGGATGGAATCTTCGCCCGGACTAAATGCCATTCCTCTCTGACCCAGTCTGCAGCCCCAGCACCGTAAATGCAAAACAGCCCTCTATCATATTTTTTTCCAGCTCAGAATATCCAAAAAGAGAATGCAAGGTCAAAATCCCACTGCACATCTCGACTTTTTCCTTTTCGTGCCACACGTTTTTGGTCACTATAAGTCCAAATGCATGGACAAAGCGAGAGCTTAGATATTCTATTGGCTTATTTGGACCCTCCCTTACCCTTACCCAAGCTAAGCACATGTGTGACCTTTTTCTTGTGCAATAATTTCACTTTGTAATCATCGGTCGTGTCCGAGATCAAGAATCTGTCTTTTGCAAAATAAACTCTTACACTGCAGTTTTTGTGCATTAAATTTGATCAACTTCGCTACTGCATTTACATTGGAAGACTCCGGAGGAAGGACAACACACAACACGGACAGGAGATCCGTCACCATTTTAGTAAGTGGGGTTTTCCAATCGGACAAGGCGATCGGATGTAGGCTCATCTTGAGCATTCTCCGCATTTTTACATGATGAATTTGCTCCATCTAATTTTTTCCTTATCGTTACGCCACAAGTTTTCGCGGATGCGGAACGATTAATCAAATCAGGCGTGAGGCAATATAGGCCAGCAGCAACGACGCTTGGAAGAGCAACGAAACATGATTCAAACTTGGAATTTGGATATAACGAGCGAGAGTGGGTGGGAAAGGGGAGAGGAAAAGGAAGCGGCCAGACTTTGATCCCTCCCTAACTCGAGTTCTGAGCATGCTCTGGCGCCCCTGATGAGGAGGAAATCTCACATTTCTGGATTGAAATTGCTAGGATCCGAATGGAATCACCTGGTGGGAGAGGAAGGGAGAACAGGGATGTCTCCGGTTGACCTGTCACTCTCCTCCCCACCTTTCGCTTCGGGAATCCCTGCAATAACAAAGTCCCCCAATACCAATCATCATCTAATCATCTGTGTTCACTTTCCATGGCCAGTTGTATGATTTGGGAACGACACGGGTCATGTAAATCTCCATCTTTCATCTAGTGGCAAGCTGTCAAAGGACACATTAGTTCGACCGACTTCCTACGTAGGCCCTCTGCTAAGAGTCACCATCTGGTACGATTTCTAATTCCAATTCCGCCGATCGTTGTACCGGTGGGAGGGAGAAAAGAGTTACGGCATCGACTCCACGAAGAATCCAATCAGGCTGGTAGACGTCCCCAGGCCTAGCAGGTGGTCTATGTAAGCGCAGAAGAAGATAGAAAAGGGAACATAATGGATTCCCGAGAAATGACGATGCCCCCGCCCGATCCCTCGGTCTACGCCTACCTGCCAAAGGACGTTCGAAAGGAAAGAAAACTTAGCGAGAGAAAAAACGAGATGCGAGGATCGAGATTGACCTGTGAGTGCGTGAAGACGACGACGAAGGGGAGAAAGAGAAGTAGAAGAAGAAAAAGGTGAAACGAGGGGAGGGTGAAGGAAGGGAGGGCGACATTGATCCCATCCTCGTGGCTTCCTTTACCGCGCACCCCCGTGACGTCATCGCCCGTCGCCATGGCAACCGCATTCCTCGCAACTCGGTCACGCACCGTTCTACAGGTATCTCAAAACGATCACAGGTACTGCCCCGATTCGTATCGCATGCATAAGCATAAATGACAGCAGCCGATGGCGTGAGGGCAGTCGAGGGTGAGTGGCGGTAGACTTCCGAGTTCCTCTCCGATAGAACTCCGACGTTCCTAAGCGATCCTAACCTACACGGTTCCTCATGAGCGTCCCACGTCCTATTGATTTAATACAATTGATGCTTAGCATCGGTTCTCGTTGCTCTGCCTTAGTATGCGGGTACTCCATCCTCGTGTGAGAGTTTAACGTGGTGAAAACCTAGTTTTTTATTCCATGAATTCCTGAGGCGGATTCGTCGAACTGCAATATTCATGCACCGCATGATTCGAGTGCTGGATGTCATGAGTCTGCCTGTCGTTCGGAAGGAACAGTCATGGTAGGAGAGAATTCCACAGAAGTGTGTGTCTTTTTATGCCTTTGTTAGGCGAAGACTCGTCGAAGGAGGGGATTCGCAAAGTTTTGAGGGTCTCGTTAAAGCCATCTTCGGCTCGTTCGCGTAATGATCAATTCTTCGCGTTTCATCTCTTTTTCTCGTCTTTATTGCGTCGAGGAGGAAAATATAATCACGGTAATAATAGCTCAACACTCCATTCGCAGACGATTCCTCGCTATTCTACTATCAAAAGCCTCATTTCCTTCCCCGTGAAGTATAAAATTAGCTCTTTTACGCGTTGGATGATTTATGAGGTTAACTATCCGTACGAGAATTAATGGGCGTCGTGGGTCCATAACTAACCGAAAGGGCTTTGGCTGTTTGCGAGATGGAAGCTTCCGCTCGGAAGGCCGACGCAATCGAAAGTGCCGCTCGAATGATTAGAGTGAGCGCGATCGTTGGTCTTAAATTACCAATATAGGAGTCTCTCGTATGCGGGGATGCCTTCCAGGCGTTCCACTCTTTCCTCGAGCGCAGCGACGAACGCAGAATGGGCTGACGTCACGAGAAGAGAGGAGAAGCCATATTCCAGATCCGTTCAATCGTGGAAGGACGGGGACGATGGCACGGAGACCGAGCGCCTGGTTGGAGGCTTTCCTCGCTCCGCCTTCGGACCCGTCGTACGACTCGCATTTCAGGCTGCACGTGTATGAGGTCATCTCTCGGGGAAGAATCGGCGTCTTCCAGGCTTTCTTCGTTTCGGATGAGCAAGACGGTATCGGGGGAGTCTCCAAGAATCGATATTGAAACTCCACTCATCCGAGGGCCGTTATTTCGTGGCTCCCGTTCGCACGAACGAGTTTTCTATTCCCCGGGCCGTTCTCTCCGTAAATCCGAATCTGCCAATATGATACGCGGAACACGAAGAAAAAAATGTTCCGGGTCCCCTTCCCGCCTCTCTTCTTTGAATCGAAGAATGGGAAGAAAAAGAACTCTCGTCTCCTTTGATCTCTCTCTTCTCCCGGAAGTGAATAATGGGGATAGCTCTTGCCAATGAGCACACTTAGCGGCGATGTCCCTCTTCCCCATCCTTATCATTAGAGCCTCAACAAGTCACTCTCTTCCCCTCCCTCCTTCCTCCCTCCTTCTCCCCTTCCCCCTCTCCCCATCCCCCCATATATCCCAGAGCTAAAAGATTAAACTGGAGACGGCATGCAATTAAATGGGTAAGCTGGATATAGAAGCCATCTCAGTTGACAGGACGACAGCTCTTCCTTCACTCCGATGGCGTTTTCTCCATTTCTTTTCTCCGCTTTTTCGCAGAAGTGAATGCAGTGCTAGCCTTCGCGGGGCGAGCTTCATCGTTCCTCGGGGAATTCCACACGACGCGTTACCGGGATCGATTTCTTTCGCGCGTGCAGGTCCTCGATTTCCGGCTCGGTTTCGCACGAGACTCCGACGAGATCGCTGGGATGGGACCGACGTCGCGTCGCCCTTCCACGATCGCTCCCTCGTTTTCAAAGAGGCCGAGGGCACGGAACCTCGTGGAATCTCGAACGAACGCGGAAGGACGAATGTGGGTTCCAGGATCCATTTGCATTTGCGGCAGGATCGCCCGTAGTCTGCTACGGCCTATTCCCGGCCGCCCGTGATTCCCATCGGCTCGCGCTCGAGCTCGGGACCCGCATGCATGGGGGAAAGAAGTCCTATAATGACACGATGGGGCCTTTGGGATTTCTCGGAGGACCGATCGCGCTCGTCGGAATGATGGCTACTTTCCATCGTATTTACGAGAAAGCCCAGACGAAAAATGGAGAAAATCCCAAAGGAGCCCACGGCGAGAGACGCCGCGATATCGACCGATGCGGCCTGTGCCGTTTCTGCGATCGTGCCATGTCCTGTTTATTTCTCGGGGTGGTGTTTCGATTCCGCGTTCATCCGTTTTGGCACGGATCCATGACGCATGCATTCGTCACGGGATCGCAATTACTCGAGACGCCGACGAAAAGGAGAGACATTAAAAACAAAAACAGGCCATACCCACACCCCAAACATTCGTGCTTTCCAATCTACAGCTCGCACACGACTTCGGGGTGTTCGCATGCCCGTGTGCGAGTGAAAAGGCAAGACTCGACTTGCCGACGACGTAGCAGGTATGAAAACGGGGTAATATCCATCACTCAAACGGACATCTACAGTACGCCTACACCATGACGTCGACCCGTTTCGGGAGGGGGCGACGACACGCACGACTTCGTGCTCCCATCGTGAACTCGACTCGACTGGAATCCTCGAACCCCTATCGTTTATTTCGCCGAGGCCCAACGGGCGTCTCGCATCGCCGCTACCTCGGGGTTGGCTCGTGGAGTCCGCGTCCCGACGGCCGGATTCTCCTCTCCCTTCTCCCAGGTACGACGATCGGCGCTTTCCGAAAGTTTCCGGTCCCTCCCGACAGAGGACGATCGAGAGAGAAGAACGAAAAGACTCACCGGGAAGATGATGGAAGCCCGGTCCATATCTGGGTTCGGATCCTCCCAAGCTGACTGTCACGCTCACACTCCCACCCGAGTCATCGTCCTTGTTCATGCCATACTGCCGGCACATGAGGCTCAACTCTCGGCTGCACGAGGACAAGCATGACGCACGCACGGATCTCGATCGCGAGAGCCCGAGAGAAGAGGGGAAATGAACCTCTCTTGGCTCTTGAGCTGATGCTGTCGTCGCCTCGCCCTGACGGCACAGGAACAGTACTTGCAGCAGATGAAGAAAACGAGGGCAGCGAGGACCCCTCCGCCGACTCCGGCCCCTGCCACGTACAACGTCAATGCGCCCGTCTGCCAACCGCCCGGTGCCGAGTACTTCGCCGACCCGACAAAAATCACAACGGCTTTCTCGTGTGCATTTTTCGACCGAATCATTTCCCTCGTTATAGTCTCTTTCCCCCCCCCCCCTATCCGTTGTAACTTTGGCACAGTTTCTAAGCAAAGTTTCCATCTATTCCAATTCGACGGGCCACGAATAGGCAAGAGACATTCCCTTATGCTCGAAGAGATTTACCTGGAGCGCTAACGGGGGAGACGAAACCTCATTTGCTTCCACCATTCCTCTCGTTTTCTGGCCTTATCCATTCTCCATGTTCCAACTGAGAGGGAAAAGAGAGAGAAGCACCTCGTGACCTGGTCGGGCCTAATGTCTGCATCTCTTTGCTGATGAGAGGGGGGGGATTTGGGTTTTCGTGTGCATGTTTCACTCATTCCCTGATTTCGGGACCGCCAATCTCAAAGTAATGAGATATCTTATCGAAGGAACGTAATATGGTATTTTATCGACGTAGTGCCTCTACCGATCGGCGGTCTTCTCGAACCCATTAACTTTCTTGAAAGCATCTGAGGGAGACACGCGACAGATATGTCGGAACTGCGACACTCGAGATCTCTCGATTCGGAGAAAAGGCTAAGGGACATTCCGGCTCTTTCGGGATCCCAGAGTGCGACGCATCCCATCGCGACGCGAACCACCCGTCACACGGTGTAAAAGGCACTTCGTGAGTAACTCGACGAGAAGCGATGGGGATCTCGCACGTGCCGAGTGACTCCAGCGAGTACACGAGGGCATCTGTACCCTCCTCGGCAGTTTGTGTACGCGATCTCGTTCTTCCGGCAATTGCTAAAACGTCGTGGCCGCGGATGGGGGGAAATAAACATTAAAAAACGGAGTTTCGTTTCCTCGGAAACGCGATTTGGCAAGCACACGGTCCGCCAGAGTTTCCGTAAACGTGCCAAAATCCTCGATCTTGTTTTCATATCGCTCGTTACTCGAGAACGAGAGCCCGAGAATCTCGAACTTCCCCATTCGTTTCGATGGGGTTCCTCTCGTAAGTACGGGACACACTGCAGGGATCCTCGAGAGAATCGATCTGGGATTTGGAAACACTTTGTTTCATTCCTGAAGCTGGAATCGAACCGATCCGGCACGCTCTCGAGTGCGACTGTCGAGATCGAGCCGAAAGGACGGGACGATCGGCAAGGAAAATGATCTTTTCATCTACACTACCGATTTCGACTCACTGCAGGCCCAGGCTACGCTTACGAATTCCGTCCGTGTACGGGAACGGGAAACGCGAGAACACAACTCCTGCAATCGCTGCACGAAGGACCGAACGACTGGAGAGAGTTCACCGTTCGCCCCGCACTCGAGCGATACTCTCCATGAGATCGCTCGCCTTTTCGAGCTCCACAAAGCACATGCAAAACTCTTGGGAATAGTCGAGGGTCGGTGACTGATGAAATTGCGCCCTTCGTTCGAGCCGCATCCCTTCCCTCTCGGAAAGCTTCTCTGACGATCGCCTCACAGTCTCTTTCCGAACACCGCATAGACGTTACCAGGTGCGGCGAAAAGATGGATTTCTCCGGTATCCGTGCACCATCTCGAGTTTCTCCTTTGTAAAGGGAGGAACCATCCTTTGCCATTCTATAGGTGCCGTCACCTTACGGATTAACGTACAACCAAGGACATCCTTCGGTGAGAACAGAGCGCATTTCATTCACACCGGGAGCTTTTTCGTTCTTTAGGCTAACGAGGGCTTGCAGAAAGTCCCGTACGGCGGGACTATTCTCTGCACGGGAATGCTCCGAATCGAGATCATCAGAGTCCACTGTGGACGAGTTTCAGAGCGATTCATTAACTTATTTTCGCATTCACAACACTGTCGCTTCGACTGCCTCAACGTTATTGACCCGGAGAGTACATTGCCTACCTCGACGGAACCTTCACACGGTGCCAGAACACTTCATTAGCAATGCTGTGGTCGAATATAAACTACTCTTTCGCTTCCGTCACGGCTCGAGCAGGGCTTTTCGCGCATGTCCCAAAGAACCTATTTCTTCCCGTAACGTGCGAGAAAAAAGCTATGCATTTTCAGTCCAATCGAATAAATCTGATGGGGAGGGATTGCAGTCATCATTAAAACGATTTTAGAAACCACCAGGAGCATCAGCTACATGGCCATCGGAAGAGTTCCATTTGTACCCGAAACGAGTGAAAATCCATCGAAATGAATTCGATAGGGCTTTCTGTCACCATTTACTACTCGATTCGGGAACAAAGACCGTATAGGCCGTGCAGCGCGGTAAAGACGGATCACTGTACCACGGAAGTAGCGGGAAGAGGAAGTCGCTGCGGAAGAGACGGGAGACAGGCACCCAGAAGAGAAGCAACACATGCAAGACGGCCGGAGAGGAAAAGCCGCCACCATCGCCACCCCCTCCACCTTCTCTCTCTTCTGGCCAAACGTAATCCCGAATGTGGGTAGGTAGAGGAAGAGATGTCGGAAGAAGGGAAGAGGGGGGGGGGGCTGCGCAGGATGTGAAGCAACAAGTTGCTCCAATCGATCCTCCGTTCTCCTTTTTCCCCTTCCATCTTCCAACTGACCTTTGCACTTTCCGCACTCTCGCGAGAGAGAGGAGGGTGAATGTGAATGTTTCACATCTTCACTCACGATCTCGTTAGGTGACGTCATTCGGCCATTCGAGGAGGATCCCAGGGGATCACGCGACGCTGCAACGGGAAGTTGGGTAGAAGATTATCTTCCTTCCACGGATACATACGCCAGGAGTAGTGCAGGAGTTACACGTTTAAAATATTCATAGCGGCTCATTAAATCCCCATCGTTCCGGTAGTAGGGGAGATTCTAAAGCATGAAAGGGAACGGCATCGACAGGAAGTTCGTAGAGTACACAAGGCGCGTGCACGATAGGCCGGTGTGATCGGAGGCATGGCTCAGCGATAGTGTCTAGGGCTCCCCAAAGTGGTTACTCGCTCTGTCGGATTCGAATTAGGAAATACCCATAAGCGTAGCGTGGCTGGAAAAAGTTGCACAGGAACTCTGGGACACTGTTAAGCATTTCATGGGTCTTTTCCTTCCTTTTTCTTGAAGAGAGAGAGTGAGAGTGTGTGTGTGTGTGTAGAGGGGGGGGATGCCTATAATACCTATGATACTCACCTCCTAGGGGTCAGGGCCGGATTCAGGGGGGGGGGGGGGGGGGGGGGTTCAAGAACCCACTTGTGGGGGTGCGGGGGGGGGGGGGGGGGGGGGGGGGGGGGGGTAGCTTCAAGAATCCACTTGTCCCAGGCCCCGCAACTTCTTAATCCGGCACTGCTAGGGTTGGGTCACCATCGAACGAAGCGCGCAAAAGCCCCACTATGATAGAAGGGCTGAACACATTTTCGTGTCACTTATAACCGTCAGTTGAGGAGCACACGTCATGCATTTCTTCTTGGATTTGCGGTATCAGAGAAGGAATCCAGGTCTTCTACCTAGTTTCTCTTCACTTCAGCTAGGATGCTCATCAAGAGCTAGAAGGAAAGTGAGCTTCGAAAGGGATACTCTTCTCGATCTTCACTCCCACGGAGGTGAAGGGTTCCTCACCATCGCATACATTTCTGAAACAGCATAAGGAAGGGCTTCGTTGCCTAGAGTCCTAGACAGTGGACAGTATGCGGATACAATTGGTGTAAGCAGTAATGCCAAGAAAGATGTAGTGGGTCATTTCAAACGGATGATTTGGGTAATGCAAGACATCTTGCCTGTAACGAGTGCGTATGGTAGAACTACAGTAGAGAAAAACGAAACCAAAAAAAAAGCTACTGTGCCCTGACCCGTGTTAACACTACTGAGTGCTCCTCGATGACAGAAACCAAACGCGGGTCTGATGACATTCTCTTGGTAGTGGCACACCAATATTCACCCGATTAACAGCAGAGGGCTCTGTGGTGCTGATCTCAAACGAAAACTCCTGTTTTCTGAGTGGGTGGTGATGAGGCATACAAGCCGATAGATACTCCTGTATACAGCAAAACCAGTCCTGTATCAGGCTGAAATGGCGGTTGAAGGATTGACTTCGTTTTGTTCCGCTCGCTCTTTTAGTCCAAGATTCCTGGTAAGACGTTGAGACAAGGTGGAAAACTTCAAGGCCGTGAGAATGAGCCAAAACGTTTAGTAATCCGGCTAAAGCAACATTGGGAACCTAAGTCATATCAAGTTGTATCAATATTGGGCTGCAAGATACTTCCATGTCGGACCGATTATTCCAAAACTGCACGTCTCTTCAACAAGAATGAGCTTGGTGGAAGACAGAAAAATAACCTTTGAAAGGTTTTTATTGTCAAACTACCAAATAGCCAGTTTACACCTCGGCTATCACCAACTAGGGCATCACAAGTTATGCAATGCAAAAAAATAACCACAGTTGACTCAATGGGCTGCAAAATCATTCACTCTTTCTTCTTAGGATGTCCCACTGTCTGAGTCAATCTCCTTTCTTTGTCGACGAGCATTGGCGATCCATTCTGGTAGGTCGTCCAAGGGGCGATAGATGACATGGACCGTCTGGGCCCCCGCAAGCATGGTGAGAAAGGCAGCAGTGACGAAACTAAGATATCTTCTCCACGAGACACCAGCTGGCATCATTCACATTCTGTTTGGGCTTCTGCTTTTCTCCTTTTGTACACTTTATCTGCAACGTGAGAATGCATCAGCTTTGCAGAAACTCTCCATAGGATATTGCATTACAGATGGCTCTGCCTGCAGGGGAGGATTTCTCAGAGTCCTTGAACTATGTAATAGTTATCAGCTCGTTTATTCTCATGGAGTCACTGTTACAGGAATACTGTTTCTCCTCTCATTCCTCTTTAGCATAACAGACAAAGACATGAGTCCTCAGATGGGGACTTTCTCAGCAGGTGGTTCAATACGAAGCATTATGTTGTGACAACCTGACTCCTTGCTGGACCAGAGATGCCAGCCACACTTGACTTCTCCCAATTGATTCATGCAATTGCTGAAAATAAATGGAGTTAGTATCACAGCAGACCCCTATGCCCCTTGGACCATATTGGTCTGAAACCACAAATCTTGCTG